GTGTAGATACTTTAGAGTTCAGACCTTTGCTCTTGAAGTCAAATGAACATCATAAAAATTATTTAAATTAATTTGTGAAATTTCAAGTGTTGTGAATTATCTACATTTATTTGAGCAGTCCTGTGCAACAGTTTATGTCATGAAATTAAGTAGAACATGCAGCAGTCTTGTCAATAGTATTTGTAGAATAACATAAATAGCTTCTAAGAAAGGAAGTGAGAATAATTAAGTCTTTTATCGACTATATTTAACTGAGATAAAATTAAATGCATTTATTGAGGGATTGTAATTTAATATTTATCTATATTGTGCCTACCATAGTGAGGCCATACTTTTTGACAGTGTAAGCTTTAAACAGCAGTTAAACACAGGTTCTTGATTATAAAGTGTCTGTAAAAGCATGTAGGTAGACAGAGTCATTTTACTGCTCTGACTGACAAAAATACTCAAGAATTACCTGGACTGTGGTAATTGTTTACAAAACAAAAGCACGTGTTAAGCACTTGAAGATTACAAAACACTTTAACAAGGATTTTGAAGTGATATATGGGATAAACTAGCATTTAAATGTTTCTAGATAATGAGATTTGCTCAACAACAATTTAAGTGCTTGGGGAAAAATGAGCAGGGATCCTTTAAATTTCTTAAAAATTTGCTTTTTACAATGGGATAGCAGTTTTTATACTTGTAGTTTTCTCTGTATTTTTTTTAATGAGTTGCACTTCAGTAGTCAATGATTTACATACAATGTGATAGATGAAGTATAGTGAAACGAAGAATGTGCAGGTACTCTAATCAGTTTGTGGAGGAAAGTCTGCCTACAGCCTGCATGGCAGGTTTTACTTTATTTACAGCAGAGAGGTGGTGGTGCTTGTTTAGTTCTGTGCCGTTCATATCTTGCTCAATTTGTTCAGCCAAGCAGCAAAGCAACATGTTTCAATCTGGAGGAAGGATCTGAGTGCAGAGGTGGAAACCAGATCCTTTCCTGATCCACCATTTTACCTTTTCTGGTATATGGAATGACTCGTACAAGGTTCAGATAATACGTCTTCTGCAAAAGCTTGGGGTTGCACACCTCTCCCTGAGCACTCTTACACAGTTGCAGAGGCTGTAGAAGGCATTCTGTGGCAGATGGCAACTGGGCCAGCTGCTGCATTTACTGCTGTTTCCACTGCACATCTACTTCAGATGAAAGCCACTCTTATTTTTGCTGCCTTTTCACTAGTCATCCTCCAAAATATTTGTGGATGGTTAGAGTTGATTTTGTATGCAAATAGAGTAATCCATAATTCCTGTCTTACTTGGGTGCATTGGAACGTGCAGTCATCCTTTCCTTTGCAAGACAACCCAGGCAAAAAAGGTGAGAGGGGCTGTGGTGTATAGCCAGAGCCAGCAGTCCTCTGCTTTGCTTGTCTCTAAACTCAGCCCCAGACAGCCAAACTGCATAAAAGAAGTTGGATAGAATAGGACATTAGCCAAATATTAGGCAACAAGGTGATGCTGCTGTATAAAGGTAACGGGGAACCCTGAATGGAGAAGCAGTAGTGTCAGACCGTGTACATCTTGACTCCTGTAAAACCTTGGTAAGAGTGGTGTGTAGGTTTGTGCTGACTGTAGGATTACTGTGATAGCTGTGACATTAGTTTTGTTAACTCCTCAGAATCACAGAATCGCAGAATACTCTGAGTTGGAAGGGACCTACAAGGATCATCGAGTCCACCTCTGAAGTGAATAGCCCCTACAGGGATTGAGCCCACAACCTGGGCATTATTAGCACCAGGCTCCAACCAACTGAGCCAATTCTCAACCAGAATGGACAATATTTTAATGAAAAGCTTAGCAAAGTGATTGTATATTTGGCAATATTTGCAACAGATGCATTAATCATAAAATACTGCTTTGAGGAGAAAAAGATATTGGTAGGTTACTTTTAATATTGACACACTACCTGAAGGCCAAGAACAATGAGTATGTTTGGGGGAAGATAGTTTTTCTTGGCAGAGTTAGTTTTTTTTAACCTCTATATTATTCTTCATGTCTTCTGCTTTTCTCTCTTGCCTGAAGCATTTTTCCATCTATTTTCTCTTACTTCCTCCAGCCTTGACAGTGCTATGACTTTGTTCCATGTATGCGTTTGGTGAAATGCTATTTGGACTACTTTTTTTTAATTTAAACATACCTGATCACCAGTTCTGAGGGACTTAGCACTATTAGTACTTACCTAAGTTGTTGAGGTCCATAATCAGATTTCAGACTTTTTTTTTCCATCTGTCATGCCTGCAAAAAGATCCTGCAAAGGATGTGCTTAAGGAAGATGGTGACACAGAATACTGCTGCATTTCCTGTTAAAATATTCTGCTTTCAGTAGCATGTCTGTGACAGCACAAATATCAGCATGGAAATCTTTCTTTCAATATAGGTCCAGCTGCAGACCTATATACCCTTTTCAATGATAACTTTGTGTTCCTCTACAACCATTGCAGAAGTGTATGGATGACTCTATTATGTTCTTTCAGTGTCTTTTTTTCCTTGTGCTTTAGTTATTTCTGAGAGGTTACATAAAAGGAGATTTTTGTTATCTACAGTAAAATGTAAATGTAATCAATTCTGAGTGAAGAACATTTTAAATTGACTTTCTTCTGAATCCTGTTCAGTAAGTCCAGTTCTTGCAGCATGATACTATTCTCCCTGCTGATCTGAAAAATATTCAAGACAGCTGGCCTGTCGCTGTGAATATTATTTCTTGGAAAGGAGAGAGTCGTGAAAGGACACAGATCATTTACTCTTAAATCTGTGTTCAAGCAGAAGCAAGAAGTTATTCCCTCTGGATTTCTATTGGTGCAAGCGGAAGAAAGAGACTGCTAACCTGAGACACAGTCATTGAAGGAGATGATTCACAAGTAAAGAGAGGTTCAACATTTCTAGGAGGCTGTCTTGGTTTGAGACAATTTGGAGGTGCAGAGACCTCTAATAGAAGTCTCCTTTCTCTGATTCAATACCCCTGCTTCTCTCCAATACAGAGAGAGAGAGAGAGAGATCAAATATGCCCAGATGTAAGTGAAAAAACCCCACAAAACTCTTTATCAAGAAGAATGCTAAACAATACTGATAAGACTGGATCGAGCTAACCAGAAAAATTCCCAAGCTCCTGCCCACCAGACTGAAATGAGATGGCAGCTGGCCTCGCTCCCGCATTAAAACCTGGCAGGAATGGTTTGGAGGGTCAGTGCTGGAGTGAGGCTGCAGAGCTGGCACAGGCAATTGGAGAAGGGCTGAGACTGGAAGGACCCACAAGACACTCGCTGGGTCCAGTGATGAGACCTGATCACTGTGACTCTGATGGTGGTTGTATTCCTGATCCACTGAGGTGGTGCTGGCGATGGTAGGGGCCTGGCTGGTACAAGTCCCATGGAGTGAGGGAAGGAGACCCTTGACCAACTGAGTGAAGTCCAAGTGTGGTCTTTTATTGGGCTCAGGGTAGGTGGGAACATGTCTGGTACCTCACCTGGGTCAAGGAGTTCTTCACTGGATGATTAATGTTGGATCACAGGACATTTCAAGAGTCTTTGACACCTTCTAAGCACAGATGGATCCATTATGGCCGTCAGCAGAGATGAATATCTTCAGGCCATGTGAGTTGTCCTGATGTCTCCCTAGGGGAGCACCCAGCTCATAGCCTGAGGTGGCAGGTGTGCACACCCTCTGAGTGGATCTCTGAGTCATCAGCCTTCCAGTCTTTTCACACTGGTGGATACATCCTTCTCCTAGGAGAGTACTACCCTTGGCTTAAGTCCCTTTCCACAGTCTAAATTAGTAGGCGTATTTGGAGAAAAGAGAAAAGAAAAGGTGGATACCAGAGTCTTTGTGCAACCCAGGACAGAGAGAGAGGTAAAATGCAGATGGACATAGGGTGGTTTGAATGGGGCATGCAACACAAGCAGTAACAGGACAATAGTCCAAAGAGCAATAAGTGTGTCTCCATTCTCTGGGTCACTCTCCACCATCCTAAAGAAGCTGCTTTGTTTCTTGAAGGTAAATGTGGCAGTGAATATAAACGAGACCCTCCTGGGATGATGGAAAACGGAGAATCCTTTATTAATGGCTGAACAAGTTCTTGCATTTGAAAAAGGCACAGTAACAAAACATGGGGGGGCCAGCACAGTCCTGTCCAATCACTTTAAAACTTCTTCCTGGGACACTTCTAATTGATCATCTTTTCCCGGGCTTCCATCAGAACTTCAACTCCCAGCGTACACCGTGACCATTACGCAACAAGCATCCCGCATTAACTCGCTCGTAACCCCACACATCCACTGTTTTTATTAATTAAAACAAAACTGAAACCGTACAAAACAATACAACTTAGCACTTAAACTTTAAAACAGCCTTATTATGAGCACTTACTAAACCAGGAACTTGTCTTTAAAATCTTTATTAAGACTACCTCTCCTCATAAAAAACCAAGGGTTATAATGTAAAATTTGAGGAAACCAAGATGTATAATATTAGATCTAAGGAAACCAGAATTTGTAAATTTGCTTTAAATCTAAGGGTTATGTATATAACTAAAATTGAGCATGTTAAGCCTTTAAGAAAATAAAATAATGTAATTGCATCTTAAAATACATAAATAAGTTTAAAAATTCACATTCTTATTAACTCAAACATACACACGCACATCCGCACACACCTGGCAGCCTCCCATTCCAACCATCACACACACGACCTCAAAAAACCCTATCCTTATCCATTTTAACCATAAAACAAAGATTTAACAGCAACTTAGTTTCCTAATTCTTTGGTCTCCAGCATGTCAATTGGCATGTCTAAAAAATATCTCACGTGACTTGACAAAGAGGTGATCTCTAGTATATCAATTGATATGTCTGTGTGGCCTGATAATGAGACAATATAAGGCCTCAGGCACCAAGAGCGAATCCACTGCAGCTGGGTACCTGTGGACACAGATGCATACCCCTTTGCTGCAGTGGTTATCTCCATCAGGCAGTAGTGACAATAGAGAACAACTCTTGCAACAGGACAATTTCTCCCAGATTTGTAGAGGAAAAGGCCGCCCCAGGACCTCCTGCATTCAGCTGATGAAGTCCTCCATCTTCACCTGAATGTCCAGGTTGGTGATGTTGTCACTCTCCTGGAGTCTGGGCTTGGCTTTCTGAACAATCAAGTCCATCCAGTCACTGAGGGAGCTCTGCAGGTGGCTCCTGTGTTACGCTTTGGTAACTCATCGGCAGCAAACTCAAGTACTGCAGCATCTCATTCCATCTTTGCCATGTTGCTGTTTCATCCTCGAAATGCAGTAGCACAGAGCAGTGGTTCAGGAAATACAGGATCGTCTCCAGAGACATGGATGAGGTTGAGGGCACATCACAACTGTGCTGGAACAACAGCTCTAGCAGTCTGCAGTGCAGGAGCTGGCTCTCCTGTTTAATAAAGCATCCCTTTGGCTCCTCAGGGGGACATTCAGTATAAACGGGAATATCTCATCTGCAGTCTTACGGGAGCTCCAGGTGGGAGATCTGTCCACTTCTACTGTGATGGACAACATCCACTGGAGCAGGAGCATCACCTTTTGGCCAAAGAAAGCTGTCAGACCTTGTATGCTGGCCAGAATTGGTGCAGATGAGCTGTGTTCAGCCCTGACTTCTGCTGAAGAGGAGGGAGTATCTTGCGGCTGCTCCTGGGACTGGCAGAACCCGACTCCTGTAATAGCTGCAACCAACCATTTGACCACTTCCTTAACATTGTTGTAGCACATGTCACACAAAAGCACTTTCTTGGCAATCGACTTCTGCAGCAGGTGCAACCTCAGATTCTTCTGCAAGTCATCCTCCAGGGTCTGCACCACGTACTGCAGGAAGAGGAGCTGGCCAGGGGGCTTTTCCCTGTTCTGCATGATGAATTTCAGCAGCATCCAGTCCCATCCCACTGTGGCAGCGTTGGCTGGATGGAGCATTTGGATCTTCAGCAGCAGCATGTAGGTGTCCTTCAAGATCTCCTCTTCATGGGCATTCAACAGGACTTGTCTGATCAGGTGGGACATGATATCTTTGGGGGGACAGTGCTGGCAGGAGATGAACCCATTCAGGAGATGCAAGGTGCCCTCCAGGAAGTTCTCCTCCATGGTGGTGCACACCATACTCAGCTTCCCTCTGAGGATGAGCTCAGGTTTCTGCTGTGTTTCCCTATTGGATGCTATGCCTTGGAAGAAGACGTGCTGGACTCCACTCCTCCTGAAACTGTGCAGTTGGTCCAGCCAGGCCTTGCTGTCAGCGTTGCTCCTGGATGGGTTGGTTGGTTCATGTGGTAGTAAGCCACTTGTTTCCAGTAAAGACCCTTCCCTGGGCTTGTGGGAAGGGTTGGGGCAGGGCTCAGCCTTGGGGGGAGGTCCCTTTCCTGGCAGAGGTGGGGAGGCTCTTCCTCTGGGCCATCAGCTTTCCAGCTGCTGTTACTGCCCAGGCTGGGGGGCACTGAGTCCTGCTCCATGCTGGGCAGGGAACCCAGGTCACTGTTAAAGCTGGTAGTGCTGCATTCCTGCTCCGAGCTGCAGAAGCTGTGGCAGCTGGAGGCAGGAGAGAGGCAGCTCCTTTTCTCCACTTCTAATTGGTCATCTTTTCCCGGGCTTCCATCAGAACTTCAACTCCCAGCGTACACTGTGACCATTATGCAACAAGCATCCTGTATGAACTCGCTCGTAACCCCACAGCAAAGACAAAGGTTATTTTGGTGAGCAAGGTGGGATGATACAGACTGTTTCACACCTGAGATGCCCTCAGGGTATTACTTATGGTCACACATGGGTCACAACCAACCCCTGAAGGTTGACTGGCTGTGTGTGTGCCTCCATGTTCAGCTGTGCACATTTGGATCTCATCTGTGGTCTGAGTTACACTGTCTTCCACTATGCAAACTGTGTTTTCTGTGATTCTGTTACACAAATAAATTGTTCTGACACCTTGAAAGAGTGGTGAGCTATTTTCCTGTCCTTGATTATCTCTGCAGGAGGAAAGTAGAAAGCCAGAACACTCCAATTACATCAATTTTACAGCATCTCGACGTGTCTGAGTTACTAGTTACTGTTTTAACTCCCTTGCAGGATGTGTATACTGTATTCTGAGTTTTCAAACTCACAGGCTTATGATGTTTCTGTCCCTAACAGAAGCATCATTATTCTTACCCCACTTCGGAGAAACTTTGTACTTACTTGCATATATGCCAGGTAAGCACATTATCACCAGCCATCTCTGCAGTGCTCCCTGGTAAAACCTATGAATTCTAACTTCATTGGCTGTAGACAGCACTGGCAGTCAGAGCTCCTCAGGAACTGTTTGAATTCCCTAACCCTTTAATTAATCATTTATTTTTCTCCTTATTCATATCCATTATTTTTTCTAGGCAGTATTATTTTGGTTTAAGATTAATTTGAAAGGTGTGATTTAGCTGAAAACAATTGTGAGAAAGAAGGAGGGCATTACTCCAAAAGCTACTTGTGTCACCAAGTGCAGTGTTTATTTTGGCTTTCTTTGCTTACTAATTATCAATTTGATGATGGATCTCAGAACTTTTTGTTATGTTTCATTCTTCCTTTTTATCACAGTTTACAAACCAAAGTAGGTGACAGGATGTTTGCCTTTTCTTTACAAAGTTTCATCTTTTTTAAAGCAGTTACATTTAATTAAAAAAAAAAAAGTCAATGTGTTCTGACTTAAAGCTGTACTCATAAGCGAGAGTTTGGTTAAAACTATCAAATTATCTAGCTGTTGATATGAAAAATGTCTAGCTCCTGTTTAGAGGTGAAAAAATATATTTCCTTTAACTATATTTGAAACATTATAAATAGCTGTGGTAGAACTTTGTGAAAACAGAAGTGAGTAATCTTGTCTGTTTCTGCTCTCTCCTTCCTCTGCAGTTTTTGGAAAACTGCATTAGGATGGGGATTTTGGGTCTTCAGAAGACAGGAAATAATACCAATAAAAAAAATAGCAATAGGAACAACACACTTTCTGGACTCTACGCTGCCTGTTCCATAAATATCTGACTTTCTAGATGGCTGGCAAAACAGCCTGTGATGTCTTCCAAGTTAGTTAAGAGAAATCTCAGTTGTAACTCAGCATTTCAGACCCAATATTGCTCTTCTTTAACGTGGTATTAGGCAAGGGATCTTCTTGTGATATGGTGTGATCAATCCACTCACAGAAATTTAGTACTCTGCTCGAAAATATTAGGATATTTGTTTTCTCACATTCCAGAGGGAAACATAGACCTATATCTGATGTTGTTCTCAACATCTGTTTCAAATATTTTTTGAAAGAGTTCTCTCTATTTTTATGGTGGCTTGTAATGATTAACATTTCATGCATGGATACTTTTATGACAGTAAACGAAGGGATAATATGGCTATATAAGACTATGTCAGCTGCTGTTAAAAGCTGCAGCTTGGGGTGTGAGGTGTTTTTCCAAAGCTGCTGTCTGACCTTGATTTGTGGTCATAGATGAAGTGTTTAATCTCCCTAAACTTCATGACCCCTCAGTCATTCGGCATTAGGCAATACTTTGTAGCACTGAAACATTTTCCTGTAATCTTCTAGGTTTAATTTATTAATTTTCTTCCTTCCACTTAGAAGAATATTGATCAATGGTATTTATTTACCAACAGGATAGACACATCTAGATTTCTGAAGATTTACAAATGCTGTAATTGTTCTCATTTCTAGGACATTCAGTGTTGCCATCGATCAGTAACACTAATGCCTTTTTCAATGTAGTCATTTTCATATGATAAACCTCACTGGAGCCTCTCAAGAGTGGAAAGGTATTTTTCATATTGCTCTGCATCCAACTTGTGTTGAAAGCAGAGGATGATACTGCCTGCAGAAACTCCAAATGTTTCACAGAGAATAAGAAGTATCTTTCATTTTAAGTTGAAGAAACTGAATGAAAGAAGTCCAGCATGGAGACCAACCATAGGAGGAAAGTCCACAGTCTTGACACACCTGTGTAATTTCCAACCATCACTTCTAATGTTAACTTACTCTTTTTTGTTAACCATCACAGAGAGAAACAATGTCTGTCCTAATTTTTCCTTGCTGGACTTTAGATTCACCATTTAATTTCCCCTGCACTAGAGATTTTTATAAGTATTCTTCTGTAAGGAGATAGCGATTTAATTTATATTTGTTTGGTCAAATTTATTTTCTAGGTAGTCTGAACTTGTAGCAGCTGCTAGTGTTTACTGAAATTAGAGCCAAGTCTTTTTCAACAGAAATTTTTCTTTTACCACACGTACAGTTTCAATGATGTTGTTTTGGTCAATAAAACCTCCAATTAATTCTTTAAAATAGTAAACATCTTTATCAGTGAAGAATTTTAATATTTTAAAGTTTTTGTTTTGAAATTACTTTAAACAGTTGGAGCATAGCTTATTTCATATATCTAAAGGGAATTTTTAGTATATAAGAATACATTTGTTTGCAAACCTCTTCTTGTTACCACAAGATGTCTCTGTCCTTGCATTCCCTATAAATAATCATACTATGTTATTAAGTCACATACATAAGAGAGGAAATTCAGTGGAATTTGAAAGATATTGTAAAACAGAAACCATCTTCAGGTTTTAATTTTCTCTCAATCATTTCTGAGCTATAAATTAGGAGATATTCAGAGTGTTACTCCCTGAGATTATTATCTAACTGTCTGGGAACCTTAAACATAGTCTCTCCTTAGATTTAGAAGGTAGTAGATTGGTTTTGTTTTAGTCTGCACTTTTATAAGGGGTACTTCTAGATCTATGCTGCAATGACAGTCTTTTATTCAAATAAACTGAAATAAAGTAATCGGAATGAGTAAATAGGAAACAATATTGAAGACATTACAGACAAAAAAGTGTTTTAAACAATAGCAAAAACCAATGGGGCAAAGAGAGAAAAACTGCTAAATTGCATGATCAAATTCTGAGGAGCACTTTGGAGAAAAAGTATGATTGCTTTGGTTATCTCATAACATGAACTCTGTCTCTCTCCTATAGCAAAGCCTTAAAATTTATGGACACAGTATCCATTTGTTTTCTTTCTCTTTTCCCTTCCCTCTCAATCATCATTTTTCATGACGTGCTCCTTCTCTGTCAGTTGGAACAAATACACTGTAATTAATGCTCACTGTGGGGCTGTGCTTGGAAGAATATAATTTGGAGTGAAGGGGAAGGTAGAGGAGCTCCCACCATCCACACTTAGGGAAGGCAACTTTCCATCACTGCCTGCTTCCCATTGACTGCTATTCCTGGGCGTATTTACAATTCAATGGCTTTAGTTTTATGAGGCTTAGTTTAACAATACTATATAACAATTTGTGAAGTTTAAGAGATCTGTGTATTGAAAGCTCTCTTTAAGTGGATCAAATATGCTTCCTAAGCTACATAAAATAGCTTTACAGCCACTGAAGAAAAACAAAGGTAAGTGTCTGACTATAGTTTTTTTGAATGCCAATGCCGTTGGAAAAAAACCCTGACCTTTCTACTGCCTACATCTGTCAGGAGAACTACCTAAAGCCACATGAAAGAAAAGAAGTGTCTTCCAACTTTACCTTTGGTTCCATTCCAAGTCTTAGATTTGACACTCAAGTCCCAGGGTGAGAAGTGCTTTTCAACATCTGGCCTTTTAGACTTCTGTGCAGAGGGGGAAGGATGCAGCTCTGAGCTTACATGCTGCAGTAATCAGGTTTCCTTTGTATAATGCGTGAGGCCTGGAATATGTTAAGAGTGTTCAAGAGTTCTCAGAATATGGGTTTTCCTCTCTATGCTAATCAGACATTTAGAAAAAAAAAAAGCCACTTTGTCAGAATTTGATACTCACAACTGTTTAAAACCTTAGCAAATACCATGGTATGTGTATGCTCTGAATGTCAACCATTTTTTTTCTGAGAAGATTGGATTTTTGCAGGAGAGAGCGAAGAATATCAATCAACTGTAGACTAGTGACCCTTAACTCATTGAGCTTAGTAGCGGATGTGTGTGTGGCTTTTAATCAATGGTTTTGGGAAGAACAGCTTTGAAACATGGTAAGTATTTTAGGGGAGCAAAGCCTCCATCATTTTGCTTTTTTAAATTTGGCCTCATTGACTTCTAAATGAAACTTGATCTCCTGCCAGATATTTTTTTGTGGGTGTTTATTGGTTCTTGGGGGACTTAAAAATTTTCTGCAATCAGTTTCTTGTAAAGGATTGAAGCTGTCTTTAGTTTTTGCCTTTTGTTTACCTTCTCTATCTCTAATCTCTACCACTGTCTGGTTTGTCTTTAAAAATCATATCCTTGGCCAATCTGAGCAATCTTTCTATTTTGATTCTCTACCTTGTCTTGCTGGTACTGCTTCTCAATATTCTCACTCATTTAAATAGCTTCATCAACATTGATTTATTAGTTTTAGTGGTATTATAAGGGTTGCTCCCAGATGATATCCCATCAACTAAGAAGCCAGGAAAAAATCTGTTTATGCTATGCTGCTCATCAAAATATTGTCCTCTAAAGCCCTAGAAGAGCTTTGAAGATCCTCTATCTAAGCAACTGCAAGCGGGCAGGTGGTGGCTGAAGCTGGACAAAAGAGATCTGACTCATAACTACTTCTTTTCTACCAGATTTCTCTCTTCAACTCCTGAGACCGAGCAGTGCCTGATGTATTTTGTATGTGAACTTTCACTGAGGGAGAGCTGGTTTAAGCTATCTTTTTGCTTAATTGCTTGACCAACACCAGATACCTGTATTAATTCTCTTGCACTCCAAGCTTATGATGTAAATTTAAACCCATTTAAAAGCATATAAAAGGAACTATTATTCTATCAAACTTTCTCTAAGAATCAATGAAGATATGTACCAGGTAGGAAAGACTCGTTCATGCTTTGTTGGAATCTGGAAATGCATATTGTTAAATGACTGTTCTTTTCATTTGAACTCCGTGTGTTTTATCTGCTTTCAGTATTTTGGTCAATTTACTGATGCCAGATTCTGTCCAGCCAGAGCAGCAGAAAGGTGTGCCATCAGAATATTAGCAGCCTCAGGAGTTT